AAGAACTGGCTGGCAAACTGAAGTCCTGCAGAGGTGGTTTTCAGAGCCTCTGGAGGTTGTACAGTTGGGACTTACACCCTGCAGGACACAGTTGTGGAGTCACTTGCAGATCTCTTTTCTCCTCCTCTCTTTGGCACCTTCTTGCTGCTGCTGGAGATGCCCGACGGGCGCCGTGGGCGATGGGCGACTGCCTCCCAGCTCTGCCTGTTCCTTATCACCTCTAATTACACCTCAGCAGCTAAAATCACAACCCTGTGATGAAAGCAGCTCATGGAGGAGGGAAAAGCGACTGTCAGAAGTCAGATGAAGGAGGACAGATGGTTTCCTGGAGGCTTTTCTCAAGACGTTTCTAGGTTGCTTGAGAAGTCTCCTTGTCAAACTGATCTGAACAGCCATTAGAGTCAGGATCTTCTCAATGCTTGTGTTGACCCCAAGAGCTTGCCCTGCAGCATCTGTGGGTAGATAGCATGGCTCAGAACCAGCAAAAATGTCCTGTACTGGCACAGAGCAGCCTGATCTGCTTCTCAAATATTCGTGTGCTCCTCAGAAGTCCCAGTGGATTGTGCCAGGTCTTTGTGTGTGGGGACCTGCCCTGGATAGAGACAGCAGCACAGCTCATCCTGGTGCATCAAACCTGGGCTGCTGGGTGCCAGGGCTGAAACAGAGGCCCAGGACTTATCTTCAAGGTCCAGATACACTCAAATAATGGCTAAAAAAATGATTTTAATAGAGCTGCTAATGGAGGTGATGACTCACGTCAGCAGCTGTGGCCCACTAGGACTCTGCATGAGAAGCTGCAGCTCATCTGTGGAGAAGATGATGGAATAATCACCTCTAGGAGAGGAGCAGCAGCACCAGCCTCATCAGGTTCTAGTCTGAAGCATGAGGGTGGCTTTGGTTTGACCTTTTTTTCCTAGACAAATCCAAACCAACAAGTACATTTTCCTCACTGAGATCTCAAAGGTACCTGTCTCTGGAGATCTTCCTTCCTGACAACATGGAGCAGAATAAGAGGAGCCTGTGTTTGAAATGGAAAGCAGAAAGTGTTATCTTACAGAACTTTTGATTTTGATCTGTAGCTAAATTATTATTTGATATTAAAACATGTATTCCTTTAAGGAGCAGACCCTGGGCTGAGGACAGCACTCCTTGATGTTTGTTTGGTGTTTAACCCTCTTGTGTGACTTTTTATTCTTCTTTTTTTTTCATAGAATATGGATTCCACACTTCACTATATTCATAATGATTCAGATTTAAGCACCAACAGTAGTTTCAGCCCTGAAGAAGAAAGAAAATCCAAAGTACAGGTAAATGACATTACCTGTGATTCTGTTTTTCCTACGTGGTATTTTTATATGATTTCATTTGTGCATTTCATTCAGTCATTTCTGGTGCAGTTTCTGTGAAATATGGCAAACCTCTGTTGTAAAATATTCCATGTTTTCAGAGATAATGGCTTAATTCAGCAGTGGCTCCTGTTTTAACTGTGTGTCAGAGGTGACAGTATTTTTTGGCACGAGGTGGTGATTGTTGTCAACTTCCAGGCTCTGGTTTTGTAGCAAATGAAACCAAGCAGAAACTCTCCTGTAATGGAAATTAGATGATTGAGGAAATAGATCTTTTTCTGTCAAATATTTTGACTGGAACTGCCTCCACCCCACAACAGCTTTTTTACAACAAAGTTGTGAAAGCATTTGGTTAAGCTCAAACTGTCTCTGTTAGGTTTTTTTCCCCAAAAGACTGAATGTTTATGATGATGTTCAGTACTAGGTGTGCCCCCCTGCACCAGTGGGGTTCCTGAGGGGGAACCTCAGTCCCTCCTGTATTTTAATTCAGTTTGCTTCTCCAGGATTTTGAGAGGGATAGGGAGAGAATTTTTGAGCAAGTCTCATCCTTTTGCTGTCCTGCCTCATTTTATGGGTCTAGTTTTTATAATGCCCAGTTGGCACAGCCTGAGAGCCTGGAGGCCTGTAGGAAGGGACAGTGTGGTCTCTTCACTTCCTGGGCTGCTGAAGTAGAGGGTGATCTCCTCATTCATTGCCTTGGTCTGTGTATTTTTGGATAGCTCCTGGTCCTGTCATCATTTTTTGGGAACTTTTTGGTGCAACTTAGGAAAAATAAGATAAAAATAAAACCCGCGTTCTTATGAAGAGCTGGGAATTAAATCATACCCCATAGTTATGGGGGAAAAAAATGCCCTGACAGCATACCCTAGAGTTTCAGTGGATGGAAGAGTGTTCTGTGAGGGTTTAGTGTGAGCAGTGCCCCCTCCCCTGGCTGCAGGACGTGGTGCCTCAGGCCCTGCTGGACCAGTACCTGTCCATGACCGACCCGTCCCGCGCGCAGACGGTGGACACCGAGATCGCCAAGCACTGCGCCTACAGCCTGCCAGGGGTGGCCCTCACCCTGGGCAGGCAGAACTGGCACTGCCTGAAGGACACCTACGAGACCCTGGCTTCAGACATGCAGGTGAGCCAACCACAACCACTCACTGATTCTCACAGGCAGGAGAATTTGGGCAGCAGTGTTCTCCTTGGCAGGTGGTGGAGAGGTGGCTGTGTGCGTTTCCTGTCGCTGTACAGCTGGTTCCCAGTCCTCCTTTGTTGCCTTTTTTGGAAATACTCTTTCTGTTTTGGGCTTTATTTTTTTTTTTAAAAGCATTCCCAAACTGCTTCATCTCCCTTTGCACTTGCTGCTTGCTATGTCAGGGCAGCAGCTCCCAGTGATGTGTGGTGAGTAATTTTCTACATGACTCTTGCTCAGATTTTCCAGACTCTCTTGCAGCCATTAAAAACAACCAGCTAATAAACGTGGGAGATAAGTAAAAAACAAATTACCTCGTGTTCAAAACTGCCCAGGGTTTAATCACCAGTCTCATCTGAATTAAGACTGAATCACCAGAGCAGGGCAAATAGAACAGCACAAATGCTAATTGGAAACTGCTGGGTAAAGAAGAGATGCTATTTTATTTTAAAAACAAACAAAATAACCCTCATTTGAAGTAGTTACTCTGTTAAAAGAGCACCCTTTTGATTTGGGGTGAGTGGACTGCTGTGCACTCTGCATATTATGGGAGCTGGAACGTCAGCTGAAATATCGTGGGGTATGTGCTTTAGTCTGTTTTATAAATAAAAGCAGTCAGAGAAGGGAAATTAGGTATTTGGAAGCCTTGGAGCTCACTGGGAGTCCAGCCAGGACACTGCCCCTTGAGTTAGAGCAGAGTGTTTCAGACCCTGCACCCCTAAATTGATGAACTCTGTTGTGCAGTGGAAGGTCCGTCGGACGCTGGCGTTCTCCATCCACGAGCTCGCCGTCATCCTTGGAGACCAGCTGACAGCTGGAGATCTGGTTCCTGTCTTCAATGGCTTTTTGAAAGACCTGGATGAGGTCAGGATAGGAGTGCTCAAACACCTGCATGACTTCCTGAAGGTATGTCCACCTTCAGCTCCCAGCACGGGCAGCGAGATGTTCTGCTTTGTTTCTTCACAGCCATTCTCTTTTCAACACCACGCTGGTAGAACCCTCAGGGGGGAATCCACACAGTCCTCTGGTGAGCACTGGAGTGTATTTTACAGGAGATCTGTTGCTGATACACTAACCAGACACTTCAGAGAAAAGGAAGCATGTTTTATTCAATATATAGGTGCCAGTGGATGGTAATTGATTATTTTTGATGGCTCGAACCCTCTCTGCAGCTTACTTGTCACATTTCCTGAGGAGTTTTTTCTGGAGCTGCCTTGTATTTAAGTTTCTGTTTCCTGTTACAGCTTCTCCATCTTGACAAAAGACGAGAGTACCTTTACCAGCTTCAGGAATTCCTGGTGACTGATAACAGCAGGAACTGGCGTTTCCGTGCTGAGCTGGCTGAGTATGTACTTCTCTGCATGCTTGTTTTGATTGCTATGGACATATAAAAATGTTAAAATCATAGAACAGATGTTTCAGTGACCTTTTTTAATTAGGGGATAGTCCTTATCCTCCTCCACTTGTCTACCTTACTTAAAAATTCCCAGTCACAGGGACTGCAGGGTCACAGCCAGGAGGGTTTGGGGTCTCTCCAGAGCAGGAGACTCCACAGCCTCTCTGGGCAGCTGCTCCAGGCTCTGCACCCTTACACCAAAGAAGTTCTTCCTTATCTTCAGGTAGAACTTTCTACCATTCACAACACATACCAGTTTTTACTCCTCAGTAGCTCTGTTATGGCCACACTGTGTATTTGGCAAGGGTTGTAATGTGAGTGAGCATATATGTAAATGGTCACATCAGCAGTGTGCCCAGGTCCTGCAGCCTGGCTTGGAGCAGCACTGGTGTGGCCAGCAGGCCTAGGGCAATGGTTGTCCCCTGGGCTCTGCGCTGGGGGGGCTGCACCTCAAATCCTGGGGTCAGTTTTGGGCCCCTCACTCCCAGAAGGACCTTGAGGGGCTGGAGCGTGGCCAGAGAAGGGCAACGGAGCTGCTGGGGAAGGGTCTAGAGCCCAAGTGTGGGGAGGAGCAGCTGAGGGAGCTGGGGGTGCTGAGCCTGGAGCGAAGGAGGCTCAGGGGAGACCTTCTGGCTCTGCACAGCGCCTGACAGGAGCCTGGAGCCAGGGGGGGGTCGGGCTCTGCTCCCAAGGGACAAGGGACCGGACGACAAGGGACAGGACAAGAGGAAAGGGCCTCAAGTTGCCCCAGGGGAGGTTTAGGTTGGACCTGCGGAGCAATTGCTTCCCTGAGAGGGTTGCCCAGGGCTGTGCCAGGCTGCCCCGGGCCGTGGTGGAGTCCCCACCCCTGGAGGGGATTCCCAGCTGTGGAGATGTGGTATGAGGGACACGGGGCAGTAGGGACCTGGCAGGGCTGGGGGAAGGGTTGGACTCCATGATCTCAAAGGTCTCTTCCACCTGGAGCAAGTCCCTGATTCTATATTCACAGCTAAAGGAACCTTTCTTCTGATTGTCATGTGCTGTCTTTGGTTGTTCTTCCACCCTGTAGGCAGCTGATCTTGCTTCTGGATCTGTACAGTGCCAGGGACATCTATGACTACCTGAGACCCATTGCCTTCAGCCTGTGTGCAGACAAGGTGTCCTCCGTCCGCTGGATCTCCTACAAGCTGGTAAAGCCACCTGGAGCAAACCCAGGATGTCAGACTCTGGGGGGGGGATGGGGATCAGAAGGACTCTTTGCATTTTTATTCTTCTTTTCATTGCTTGAAGGTCAGTGAAATGGTGAAGAAGCTGTACCTGGCTTCCCCATCCACCTTCGTGGTAGACCTCATGAATGAGCTGGTTGAGAAGTTCTGCAGGTGCCACAAGTGGTCTGGGCGTCAAACCTTCGTCTTCATTTGCCAGGTGAGGAGTTTCTGTTCATCTGCTGTGGTTCTGGGGGGTGCTGAGGTCATCAGGGTGCATGGGGAGAGCAACTGGAACTCTTCAGCTGCCTGTTGGTGCTGTTTTCATGAGTTCTTGGAAGTATGTGGAGAAAGATGAACTTTGGAGCTTAGAGAAACATGTTTGGAGTTTTATTGGGATGTTTGTTGTATGAATGTAGTACCTAGTTAGCAGAAAGACTAAATGAGTCTTGGAAAGGATCATAGCATGGTTTGGGTTCCAAGGGACCTTTGGAGATCTTGTCCAACCTTCCTCTCCTAAAGCAGGGTCACCTAAAGGAAGAGAAGGTCTCTTACTTTCTCCCCTGTTTTCAAGTGATACAGTGATTTATAAAAAAAGGCAACCCAACCAAAAACCCCAAACCACAATAAAAATAAGGAATCACAGACTGGTTTGGGTGGGAAGGGACCTTCCAAGGTCACCCAGTCCAAGCCCTGCAGGGAGCAGGGACATCCCCAGCTAGAGCAGGGTGCTCAGAGTTGTGTCCAACCTCCCCTGGAATGGTTCCAGGCTGAACAGTCCCAACCCTCCCAGCCATATCTTCATGGCAGAGGAAGTTCAGAGACTTCACACAGAACAAAGGGAGCTTCTGAGAGAGCCTGAATTTCCTCAGCCCTGACTTGCTTCCTCAGTGTGACTGCACTGGGCTGTCTTATCCCATCCTTGAAAGCTCTGTGGGTGCTGCCTCCTGTCTTCCTGCTCTGAAGGGGAGAAGATGTGTCAGCTCTGGTGCTGTGCTGACATCTTACCTTCCCCAAGCTGAAGTCTGACAGGGTTGCCTCTGCCTTCTTGCCAGACCATCAGTGAAGATGACTGCCTGCCCATGGACCAGTTTGCTGTGCACCTGCTGCCACACTTGCTCCACTTGGCATCTGACAGGGTTCCAAACGTCCGAGTCCTGCTGGCCAAAACGTTGAAGCAAACCCTGCTAGAGAAAGGTTAGTGGCAGAGAGAGCTGAAATGGGCCAACTACCTGTCTCTTTGTCCCTCTCCTTCCTCTGCTCAGCTGGGAAAGAAGCAGCACCACCAGCTGTGAGGGGTCTTCTTGCTTTCAGTCTCCTTGGTGTGGGATTTTTACCTTGGCTGAGGTAAACCCCTGAACCTCGTTGTGGTATTGGAGTTGAGGAAACACAAGTCCTTGCCTGTTCTTCTGATACCATTTTCCCTTAGTTAGTCTGGTTTCTAGATGGGTCCCAGGGCACAGAAAGCACAAATGAACAACTGGGAACTGGGAGGTTGTTGAGCAGTGCCCCTTATTTGCTTTAAAAAATATTTTGATGATCTGCGTAATGAGAAAGAAAATAAGGAGGATTCTTTCTTACTCTTATCATCTCTTTCCTCTTCAGCATGGAATCCTTCCATACAAACCCACCTCTAGATGGGTCCCAGGGCACAGAAAGCACAAATTAACAACTGGGAACTGGGAGGTTGTTGAGCAGTGCCCCTTATTTGCTTTAAAAAATATTTTGATGATCTGCGTAATGAGAAAGAAAATAAGGAGGATTCTTTCTTACTCTTATCATCTCTCTTTCCTCTTCAGCATGGAATCAAAAACCCACCTCCTCTTTCCTCCCTGGGGGAGAAGAGGTGGCTGCTGCTTGCTTTTTATGGTAGCAGGGAGAGGAAAGGTTCCCTGGAGTCCCTTCAGGGAGATCAGACACAACTCCCACCTCCTGGATGTGCCCAGGAAAGCCTCCCCAGTGTGCAGGAGGTGCAGAGGAGCCAGCAGTGCTCCCAGGCCACAGGAGAGGGAAAGAACCTGGGAAATACTCACCTGGTCTAGCTGAGAGGTGTCCCCTGACAGTGGGTAGATGATGAAAGGCACATTTAAAGATGAAGCTGAGGAGATTTAAACCTCAGCTGTAAATGGCCCTTCCCAGGAGCTGGGTGTAGTTGTGCTGCTTTTACAGCCCTCGTGGGGCATCAGTCACAGAAGCTGTCAGGAGCTGGAACCTCTTCCTGCCAGCTTAGCTGTACTGTGGGGTGGTCACTTGGCAAGCCTGGGAAGGAGGTGGGTTAGCTGTGGGACTGTGGCACCTTCCCCCATCACACATTCCAGTCTCTGATAAGCTCTTCAGTCTCTCACAGGTTTTTTTTCCTCCTCTTTGGTCGTGCTGTGTCCTGCTTCCTTTTATACTGAAGGAGGGTAGAAATCCTGTGCTCCAGCAGCACTGTTAAGTCCTTCCCTGTTCCAGAGCATGGTCACTCTGTTTTTTTTAAGGTGAATTCATAGCTAAATTGAGAAGTGCCTCCTGTGCCTGCTCAGCTCTCCCAGTTTCCCTGCACACCCTCTTCAGAGATCCTGAACCTCACCATAAGCTGAGGTGTGCACTGAAATACCTACTCCCTTTTCCTCCTTTTAACTCCTGTGCCTTGTCCCTTTCCAGAATATTTCCTCAATTCTGCCAACTCTCATCAAGAAGCTGTGGAACAAACCATTATGGTGCTTCAGATGGATGATGACAGTGATGTGAAGTACTTTGCCAGCATTCACCCTGCCAGCACCAAGATCTCTGAGGATGCCATGAGCACCACCTCCTCCACCTACTAACAGCCTCTGAATGTTGCTCTCATTAAAACAAAATCTAACCAAACTACCCTCACGTGCTTCTGAAATGGTTGGTCTTAGGACAACCTCTTTGGAAGGAGAGATTTTCTTGCCAGATTTTTAACAGGTGGATGTCACCCCAGCCTGATAACCAGGGATTGAAAGTCAAGGAGGAGTCCACGTGACCTGTGTCAGCTTGACTTTGGAATCACACTGCTCAGAGGATTCTTTTTGCCACCCAAGCCTTAAATCTTCTGTCTTCCTGATGCAAATGAAACTTGAATTGGCAGATGGTTGTGGTAGGAAGGGGGATCCCCGGAGACCTGCCTTGTTTCTCCTGAGGAGTTAAACTTAGCAAGGATTTCCTGTAGCAACTGAGAGAGGAAATGGCCAGAAAGGCAAATTTCTACCAGGATCTAAGACCTCCAGTATTAGAGCTAAAAGTTTTCACCATTCAAGGGACTTGATTTGTGTGCAGCTGGGCACACACCCTTCACTGGGAATAGTTTGTAAATGGGGAGGGGGGGGAAAAAAAAAGTAGAAATTGGGATTTCTCTTAAGGGCTCAGTGCTAACACTAAACTAGAAATTTGATTTTAAATCCTTAAATGCAGCATATTGCTGTACCCGTTAGCAGAAGACTTTGCTGAGTACCTACATCCTAATTATTTTCATGCTGGTCATGACCTAAAGGAAATTTATTAGCATATGTGCTTTAAGTCAGGTATTTTTAACTTGATCATGATCAGCTCTGAGGTGCAGCTTGTTTTTTTTTTTCCTTGGTATACTGTACATATCTGTGGGGCCTCCTCGGGGCGCCACGGTCTTTAATCATGTTGTTTAAAGCTGTTGTGATACAAGTTGTTCTCTATTTGTCCAAATAAAATTTATTAATAAGATTGAAAACAATCTTGTGACCTTTTTAAAGCGTTAAAAGGAGGAGTTTGAAGTTTTAAGTGTTTTTTTTTCTCTCCTTCCTAGCTGCAGGGAGAAGGGGTTGGCTTAGCAGTGGGGAAGAGTTTTTTGCATTTTCAGGTGGACTGTCCTGCAGTGTGCTGGAGGTGGTGCTGGGTTCCCTTTCAAGGGACCTGTCCCAGCAACCTGAGACACCCCCCTCAGCCCAGATCTACAGCAAGCTGTGAGCTCAGACTCCCCTCAGCCCCCAGCCTGCTCTCCTCCCAGCTCTCCTCAGCTTCCTGACATCTCCCTCATCTCTTCCAGGGGCAGTGTCCTGACACCACCTGCTCTCCAGCAGGCAGCAGAGGAGCAGCTGGGGCAGCTTCTTGGACGTGCTGTAGCAGAATGTTCTTCACAGGTCAGTGGTGCCCTGGCAGTTCAGCCTCAGGCAGGTCTCTCTTCTTCTTGTATGTTTTGGGGGTTTGGGGTATTGTTTTTATAGGGTTTTTCCTTTGCTTGCCCCTTTTTCTTTCCACAACCAACTTAAAAGCTGAGAGGGCAGCTGTGCCCAGCTCCCACGTTCCTGTAGAGTGGGCAGTGCTCTCACCAGGTTTTCTGGCCCCCACCTCCCCTGAGGGGGGTTCAGCAATCCTGTGCAGGCCCCTGGAGGAGGCAGGGGCAGCAGGCTGGCAGGGGCAGGGGTGGCTGAGCTCTCCCTGC